AAAAAAAAAAAAAAAATTCCCGGCRTGTAAAAGTGAAGTCTCTAGCATTGTTTAAAACAGCATATGAGCAACAGTGCAACCACTCGTGGAGTACCACCCAGTATGCCCGCAGATGCAGACCTCCTGATGTGCTCATGATATAGAAGTTTTTACAGTAAATGAGTTGATTTTTGTGGGAATAAGAAGGTACAGGGGAGCTTAAAAGCTGCCAGTTTTCTTTCACATATGTATTTACATTTGTGTATTTGTATCTGTTTATCTGAGTGTGCATGTGTGTGTATATCTCAAAGACCTGGATACCAGGCTAGAGAAGTGGCTCAGTGGTAGAGTATTTGCATAACTTCAGAATTCTCTACCTGTCAGCATAGGGCCTGGCAAGAAGCAGTGAGCCTTTAGAGTCAGAGAGCTATGCCTCCCACAAACAGTGAAAGGGAGAGTAGCCAAAGGTTTGGGGTTCCTCTGACACTAAAGCAGAGAGGCCRGAGACTGCAACACATGGGATAGGACACCTGTGGCTGAGGAGCCRCAGCAAAGTGGTTTACAGCTCACAGCTCAGCCCTAGAGTGCRTGGAGGGGAGGGAGTGGAAAGCCATGTATCAACAGAACTGGAGGCAGAGAAGTGTCTCGTGCAGCCTTCCCAGGAAGATAGACAGCTTCCCAGTGGGCAGTGGCCTTGAGCAACTCCTTYCTGGCCTCCCATACTCTCTTGTTCTGGGAGGACCTCACCACATTCTGTTCCTGCAAAGGCAGACTGCTGCTCTCGTCCTGGCCCAGGTGGCTGGTGTGTTTACATGCTAGGTTGCAGAGCCCCATGGTAGAATCCTTCCCTTGACCATTTGTTACCTGATCAGAACAAGGATTTAATTCTTTTTTTTTTTTTTTTTTCAAAAGAGGAAGGCCCCTCAGCAGCAGTTCTGAGATGGGACATCACTGCCCACAGAGCACTGCACCTGCCCCCACGATGCCACAGTGCTTCACCACCAGACCTCTTTCGGTTCACAGCTTGTCTTCTGAAACCTTCCCACCACCATCCCTTCACTACCTAGCTACTGCTAGGCTGTTTTCATTAATTATAAAAGTGGAAGGAAAAAACTTATAGACTAAAAGTAAACAAAACCAAAACCCAGAGAAGCAGTGGGACTTTGCTAACATCACACAGTGGCTGCGTAAGTGTTCAAAGTGAGGGCTCCCATCTCCAGACCAAGTCCTCATTCATCCCGCAAATGTTTTTAGCACTGACCATGACCTAGGCTCTGGGAACGCACAATGATTCTCAGACACAGTCCTGCCCTCCTGAAGCTTACAGTTCATGGGGATTCCTTGTCCMCCACACTTTGAGATACTTGAACTTGTCTGTAAGTTTGAACTTTCGAAAGTTCAAACTTTAAACAAACAGCAAATAAATAAGGCAGAAGGATCTGGTGGAATGTGCTAGACCAGAAGAGGACAGTCCAGAACCCAGTCATAATTTTATTTCTCTGCTGTCTCTATGACCTTGGGGAAGTACTTGCCCTTTATTTCAGTTTTGACATCTATAAATACTCTACAGCTTTACTGGCCTGAATGCTACATTTGTGTGTGCCTTGTGTGATTGAAAGAGATGTGTAATAAGGACAGTTACGTTGATAGTTAGCAGTCTGTACATTTGGCCATGGGATAACCCTTTGGGTGTGCATCCTTTCATTTTATAGATCGCTTGACGATATCTTACTGTCGGAGTAGTGGTCCCGGCGGACAGAATGTAAACAAAGGTAAAGGCACCTTGGTGTTTTCTGTTGCTTTAAAACTTAGCTGGGAGAGGGGATTGAAGAGGGAGCTGTTTTTACATTCATGTGGAATAAAGGGATTTTTTCAGCCAAAGCTTAAATACCACCAGCTTATAATAATCCTCTTTATCCTTTTGAATGTGGTCTGATTCTCAGGCTCTCAGCTATGGCTTGCTAGGAGTAGGATTGGCTTGTGAAGCTAAACAAAGAKAACTCACAGTGTGAGCTGGCAGCCAGCTCCAAGAACAGGTTTCCTTCATTCTTGTGGAACCCATTCCCCCCATTCTTTACAGAAGCCAGTAAAACTGGAAGAGAAGCATTTCATGGGTAGTTACCAGAAGGTTTTTTGTCCTGAAGAGCCTCACTGCCTTTGCGGGCTCGTTCCATGGCCAACTTCGACAAAGGCCAGCACATGCATGGCTGAGTATCTGACTTCCCTTGGTTCCAGGATAGTCACTGGTCCCCTGGGTGCTTCATCTTCCCAAGTCTCAGTGACCACTACTCCTTTCTTTCATCCACAGTGAATTCCAAGGCTGAAGTCAGGTTCCATTTGGCCACAGCTGACTGGATTGCAGAGCCTGTGAGGCAGAAGATTGCGCTCAAGGTARCCACTCTCCCTTTATTTCCCTGCAGATTCCTCAGCGGCTTCTAAACCTTTACTCTGCAGAACTTCACTTTTTATTTTTGTTCTTTCAGCATAAAAATAAGATCAACAGGGAAGGAGAGTTGATACTCACCTCCGAAAGCAGCCGCTATCAGTTCCGGAATCTGGCAGATTGCCTACAGAAAATTCGAGATATGATTGCAGAGGCCAGCCAGATGCCCAAGGAGCCATCCAAAGAAGATGCTCAACTTCAGAGAATCAGGTACCAGAAGATGTCCTAGGTTGTGTAGACTGATTCATGTGGGCAAGAGCTGGACAGGAAAGAAAGGAGGCAGGATGAAGTCCAAGAGGCCCAAGCAGGCATGGAGAATCTGCAGGAGGGGCAGGGACTCACCCTGGACGGGGTGTGCATCTTTGCCTGGTGACCAGGCTGTTCTGCCTCCCACTCAGCTTCCCACMATTCCCACCACTTTGAAAGGCACTGATTGGGCATTTGGGTCTCATTGTGGTCTTTTTGTTTTCAGGATAGAAAACATGAATCGGGAAAGGCTGAGACAAAAGAGAATAAATTCTGCCGTAAAGACAAGCAGGAGGGTAGACATGGACTGAAATCCCCCCAGCATCCACTCTTCAGGGCATTGGAGCAGCTGCAGCTGAGAGACCTGTAACGCCATGAGGATATTCGTTTTCTTTATCTTTTTTGCTGTTAACATTGGAACCATTAAGAGAGTATTCATTGGGAATGAGGGCTTCAGGCACTGGTTGCAGGTCTTCATATACCATCACCATGTTGTTAAACCATAGTTACCCATTGACTATATTATTAACTGCAATAAAATTTGTTTTTTTGATACCGGAAATTGAACCTGGGGACACTTAACCACTGAGCCACATCTCCAGCCCCTTTTTGTATTTTATTAGAGACAGGAGCTCTCTGCATTGCTTAGGGCCTTGCTAAATTATTGAGGCTGGCTTTGAACTCTCAATCTTTCTGCCTCAGCCTCCCGAGCCACTGGGATTACAGGTGTGCACCTGGCTTGCAGTAAATTTGTTAAGCTCAGTGGGCCTTGCCTGTCAGAATGCTTCAAGACAAGACACTGACCTTTTCTCTCACCTGAAATCTACCCCACTGTCACTGCCTCAGCGCTGATGATTTCACAGCTTACTGCTAGAGAACAGAGGGCTCTGGATCTTCCATCAAGGAACACACAACTAGGAAGAAGGGCATTTGAGCTAGGACTTGAAAAAGGTATAGGATTTCAATCAGTAGAGAGGGAGTATAATATGCTATTTGAAAGGAAAAGTGTAAATCCAGGAGACAGAAGAGCTAGGGTGCAGGATGTGACAAGGAAGCCATTGGTACTGAATGGCAGATTCCTGCAGGGGCTTGTCGGAAGTCCATCTAGAAAGGCAGAGGCTCTATTAGAGATCCTGGAACTCAAGGTAAAGAGTTAATTTGGGGCAGTACTAGTGTTTGAACCAAGGGCATTTTACTCTGAGCTACATCTCCAGCCACCCCAACCTTTTTTTGAAACAGGGTCTCATTAAATTGCCTAGGCTGGTCTCAAACTTGAGATCTCCTGCCTCAGCTTCCTGAGTTGCTGGGATTACAGGTGTGCACCACCATGCCTGACCATGGTAGGATTTGGATTTCGTGAAACATTAGGTAGCAGGAAGCCACTAAGATTTYGAGTGAGTATTGCGTATTAGGTGTATATTAAATATGGCAGTAGGCTTTAGAGGCAGGAAGAGTACACTGAAATTGAAAAGAGACTTTTGCAGTCCTGTGGTTGTGGGAACAAGCACCCAGGCTAGGGACCTAGGCTAATATAATAGTGGTGGATTATTCTGGTATGTATGAAGTTCTTCAAATGCTCTATATTATTTTGATGCAGTTCTCTCATTTGATAAATACCAGATCATGATGATCCAAGTGTAAGGTAATGAACTATAGTAGTATATACACTTGAGTAGGTACCTCATCGTTCATATAGGTAAGTCCAGACCAGGGGGTAAGTCATTTACAAGTGACTGGCAAAATACAGAAGATGTGGAGCTGGGGTTGTGGCTCAGCAGTAGAGCGCTTGCCTCGTACTTGTGAGACCCTGGGTTTGATCCTCAGCACCACATAAAAGTAAATTAAGTGAAGTGGAGGTATTGTGTCCAACTATAACTAAAAAATATTTTTAAAAAACTACAGAAGATGTGGAAGATAGGACTCAGAGCCTCGGGGCTGAGTCTGTATGCAGGACATACAACATTCATTCAGTAATTTAATAGAACTGAATGCCAGGTGCCACGTGAGGTGAGGAGTCAGCAGTGAACTAAAGTCCATCATTCCAGAGAATTGGCATCTGTCAGATGATGACAAAACAGAAGGAAAGATGGATTCCTGTAACAGTCACATGACCTAAAGCATAGTCAATGACACAAGCAAAGCAAATGGACTGGGGACAGAGAGCAGAGCTGGCTGGTGGGTCAGAGAAGATGTACTTGAGGTGCTTGAGATGGACCCTAAGGAGGGCAGGAGCTGCTCAGGCAAGCAAGGGAAGGGCATCTAGATGAGTGACCAGTGCTCAGTGCACTGAGCAAGCACTCAGGGAAGGACAGCTGTGACTTCTGGCCCAGTTCTTCAGGAACCCAGGGCACAAGTTGCTGTGAAAGATGAGTCTGCCACACCAAATGGAAGTCAGATTTCAATGGGACAGCCAACACACTTAGACTTCACCCCTCCAGAGGCTGTCAGGAGATGACTGACCTGCTCGTGAAAGGACAAAGAAGGACTGCGGGGGAGTGGGCAAGGGTTGGCCAGTGGACCTGGGGCAGCAGGTAATGATCCATCCTCACACAGGGCAGTGACAGCGGGTTGGAGAGAAGTACCAGATGCTGGAGCATTAGGGGGACAGAAAGTTKGCCTGGGTGGTATGGGAGTAGGAGTGTGGTGGGGTCATGCTGTGCACTGAGACAACAGTCAAAGGGGGCTGTATGCAAGCAGAACTGGGAGGGAATGGAGCCCTGGAGCTGGGAGTGAAGTTGCTGTGGGGAGATCCAAGGTCCACACAGACAGGTAGTGTCTTGGGAATGGACAAGAGCCGCTGAGAGTGAGGCAAGGCAGAGCCTGGGGAATGCTTGGCTAGGTGGAGCAGAGGGAAAGCAGAGACCCTGGGGCATGGCGCAGAGCCAGAGGCCTTCAGAAGACATTGGTGGGAGGTGAAGATACCCAGAAACACCCTGGGATATACAGGAGGGAAGGGAAAGGTAAAGAAGCCAAGCAAGGGCTGGGATTGTGGCTCAGTGGTAGCGCTTGTCTAGCATGTGTGACACACTGGGTTTGATTCTCAGCACCGCATACAAATAAATAAAGGTCCATCAATCTCTAAAAAAGATTTTTTTTTAAAAGCGAAGCAAATGGACTGGGGACAGAGAGCAGAGCCTATTCATAAAAACAAAATTTCAAAGACAATGTTGAGTGAAGGAGGCCAGACTTTATAAAATTATAGACTACAGTTATTTCATTTATATGAAGTTGAAAACTAGTAAAATCATTTGTGGTGATAAAAGTCAGAGAAGGATTTGCATGAGGGAGGAGATCATTGACTGGGGGAGGCACAGGGTGCCTTGCAGGTGCCAGGAGGTTCTGTGTCTTGATGGAAGTGACAGGTTCATAATTCAGGCAGGCGGAGAAGCTCGTCCTAAGGACCTGTGATTACTGCCTGCCTTTAAACCTCAGCAGTCACAGACAGAAGTCCTCGAGGCAGTGGACTGGAGCCACTAGGACGAAATTCTTCCTTCTTGCTCTAGTAAGGGGAGGAAGGAGACCTGCTTCGGCAGACTCTGTTTTAGAGAGAAGCAAAGAGGAATATGCCCTCGTCCTGTTTACCCTGCAAAGTCTGGAAGTAGGCACAATGGGACTACACATTTGTCCTTGGCTGAAGGTTTTTGTTTTGTCCTCCCCCATCCCTGGTTCAGAGTGTCTCTGGGTTCATTAAACTACATCCCAATCCTTAATTTCCTTGGGAGACAGGGTCTCCCTAATTTACCCAGGTTGGCCTCGAACTTGCCGTGCTCCTGCTTCAGCCTCCCTGGGATTACAGCTGTGCACCTTGCCCCACCGTGCGTGTGTGCGTGTGCGTGCGTGTGCGCTTGTTAAGGAATATTAGACTAACAGTTTTAAAGAAAACACTAGAGTGAAAACTCTGCCCGGCTGCCCTCCACGCACCCTGTTGGTGACGTCATAGGTGTGCACAGTACACAGGATCCTGTTGTGGCTGGATCGGTGCGTTCTCACCACGGGCTCCGTGTCCGTGCCTGGTGTCTGTTCTCTTTCACTTCCCGCACTACCTTCTCCTAAAATTCTTGATTTTTACATCAGTTCTTTAGAGGTACACAAAAATGGTCAGGAAACGCCACCGCCCTAGGTCTTCACGCATCTACGGTCAGGTTTTCCAGGCGACCTCGAGGCGGCCCCCAGGCTCCGAGGAGCGCCCGCGGCTGGGCTGGAGCGTGGCGCTGGCCCAGCCCCGTGCGGTCCCTTTGCCTCCCGCAGCTCCGGGCCGGCCCGACTGCGACCTGCCCCGCCAGGCAGGGTCGCACCGCACATCAGAGGAGAGGCAGACGGCACGTGCCGCAGGCCCCAGTGGCCTAATGGATAAGGCACTGGCCTCCTAAGCCAGGGATTGTGGGTTCGAGTCCCACCTGGGGTAGCACCCTTTATTTTTAGCTTTCCCCGAGCTCCGAATGGAGCCCGGCCTCCAGGTAGGTTCCACTGGGCAAGAGGGGCTCTGTTCCTCCACACCGGCGAGGGGTGGCCGAGCGAGTTGGCCGCACAGCTTCTTCCCGGGTAGAAAAGTCCCCAGATGGAGGCCGTGGAGTGTTGAGGTGACAGGACGCTCCCGACCCGGGGCAGCTAGAAATGAATAATGCACTCCTACTGCGGGCCGCGGGCTGCGGGAGAGGAGTCGGGCGCCGCGCGGAGGCGGGCACGGMCCTGGCACTTAGAGGTTCCTGAGAGGGATCCCCGATGCCACCCACGAGGGCCTCGAACCCCAAGCCCTGGCTTAGGCGGCCGGTGCCTTATACATTCGGCCACTGGGGCAGGACAAAAGGGCGCCACAGCGCCTCCAGGCGCACGTGCCCAGACTGAGAGCCGGACAGCAGCACTAGCAGAACGACCTCCGCCCGGGCAAACGGAAGGCTGACTCAAGGGGACCGCTGTCAGGTTCGCAGCAGTCCGTAGGGCAGTGAGCAACTCGCGGCGCTGGCCCAAAAGCGAAGCTGACCACGAAGGGACTCGAACCCTCAATCTTCTGATCCGAAGTCAGACGCCTTATCCGACGCCTAGGGCGGGGAGGCAGGTTCAGGTGCCGCCCCTAGGAGGTGGTAGTGCAGTGATTCCTGCAGGAACCGACGTAGTTGTCACAGCGAGAATTGCAGGCACCATGAATCCACAGGTGCGCCGTTAGCGCTGCGTCTCATTGTCACCAAATATATTTTCTAGCGGAACACTTAGCGGAAGGAGACCGCGTGGCCTAATGGATAAGGCGTCTGACTTCGGATCAGAAGATTGAGGGTTCGAGTCCCTTCGTGGTCGAAACGTTTTAAACCCGATGGTTTTAACCCTCATTTTAGGTAAGAAAGTCCTCTGGGCTCCTCTGAACCATTCTCCCTGAGTATGGTCAGCTTTTGCGTTTGGAATCTTCTGGGTTTGACGTCATGACGCAGCCCGCAGCGTCACAGTTTAAGAGGCATGTGACCGGGCGCCGCTTACGTGAAGCCCCAGTGGCCTAATGGATAAGGCACTGGCCTCCTAAGCCAGGGATTGTGGGTTCGAGTCCCATCTGGGGTGGAGTCCTTC